CACCGCAGGGCCCGAGGGCTGTAACCTGTTCATCTACCATCTGCCCCAGGAGTTTGGGGACGCTGAGCTGATGCAGATGTTCCTCCCTTTCGGTAATGTCATCTCCTCGAAAGTGTTTGTGGATCGGGCGACTAACCAAAGTAAATGCTTTGGTGGGTAAAGATAACAAACCAACTAGCTTCACCTAGGACAGGGTGGTGCTTGCACCAATTTACCGGTGTCCAACTGCTTTTAACCTGCTCCTTCACACAGCTCCCCACACCCCCAACCCCCAGTGTTCCCTATGGCCCAGCCTCCAGCCACTGTCTCTCACCCTTCTCTCTTCTACTTTTGGCTTCTTGGCTTTCCCTGCCCACTTCTCCTCCAGCTCTACATCTCCCCCTTCCCAGCCCAAGAGATAGGTTCCCCGCTCTGCTACCAGTCCCAATTCCCACCCACTGAGAAGGGGTGGAGCCACCTTGGGCAGGGTTGGGAGGGGGCAGCAAGCTGAGCTCACCAACACCCATTCTCCCCGGAGCCCCTCTCCTCACACTGTCAGAGTGGCCCTTGGGTGGAAGCTGAGCATGATCCTTGGGGAGGGGATCTGCCCAGCTGAGGCCTCTACCCTGCCTTTCCTTTAGCTTCCTCTGTCTACCTCTCTGTCCTGCTCCACCCCCCTTCTCTGTCTACCCTGCTCTTTGCTCCCCTCTTGCCATCCAATTCTCCTTCCCCCACCCACTCCTCTCAGATCACCAGAGCCATATTGTTGAGGAGCCAGGAAGTGAAAAATGGTCCCTGCCCTCAGGAAGCCTCAGGTCTGAGCTTAGGTGAAAACCACACCTACCCAACGGCAGTGAAGTCTGCAAGGCACCTAGTAAGGGAGTAATGAGAGAGGCAGGTGGATGTCAATAAAGGAAGGGGAGGGGATTCCAGGCAGGGAGTGTAGAGTGGACAAGGGCATGGGGCTGGGATGAGAAGAGCCAAGGACAGTGAGTGGGGATGCTGGAGGCCTTGGGGAGAAAGGAGGGTTCAGGGGAGACCATCTGCGAGGGAGGGTCTGTGCTGGGGAGGGTTTGGCCATTCAGGTGAGGATGTTTCATGTGGTGTGGTAAGCAGTGGAAGGTGGTAGGAGGTCCTTGAACTGAAGGTAGTAGAATGAAGATACAGCTTTGGGGAAACTTGCCTGGTATCAGGGCGTTAGATGGGGGAGGGAAGACTTGGGAGGATCTTAGAGTATGGTTGTCAGATAAAATATAGGATGCCCAGTTATATTAGAATTTCAGATAAACAATGGGTGCATTTTGAGTATAATGTCTGAAATGTTACATTCAATATGGCCCATGCAATATTTGCGATATACTTATGCTAAACAAGTATTCACTCTTTATCTGAAATTCCAGTTTAACTGGGCATCCTGTGTTTTTATTTGCTTCAGACCTGAAGTCCCACCTCATCCCCATACCTCCCCCCTCCATTCCTCTTTAGTCCCTCTCTTACCTCCTCCTGCATCTCCATCAGCCCTTCCTTCTGGGGCCAGAGCCACTCGTGATTCACCAAGGACTAAGGAGTCCAGTCCCCAGAGAGCCACACATGGAACCAGAGCTGAGTCTGCCAGAAGCGTAGTACCTCCAGGTTGACCTCCAAATTCTGGGGCTGTGCGGACAGAATAGGAGTCTGTGTTGGCCAGGAAACCCAGGTCACAGCTTGCAGTGGAGGGGGGAAGGGAGAAGGCATATGAGTATAGAAGCATCTGGAAGAGCATGTTAAGGAAATTCCACTTTGGAGACCAACTTGCCAGAACCATGAAGGGCTTGAGGTTTTAGAGCACGTTCCCCAGAGCAGTCAAGATCTTGGCTCTATTGTCCCTTCCCCTGGAAATTTGTGGTACTACAATGGCATAGAGTTGCTTCAGCAGCTCATTTCTCTTTGAATATTGGGGAAACAAAGCCAAAGAAAAAGGCAGGGTTGCACCCCTCCACAGTGTTTCTTTTGACGAACTACAATTACCTATGTAAAAACAACCAACTGGAGATCTTTGCATTTGCTCTTTAAGTAAGCTTCAGATGTTACATGAATCAAAGAAAACTGCTTAGAGCTCACAAAGCACTGGGCACCTGGGATAGAGCTGCTGGTTTCTAGCCAAGTCCTTGGTACATTTATGCGGTCCCTGGCTGTCCCTGATGTCAGAGCAACCCAGTGTTTCCAAGGCATTTCCTTATCTGTCCAAACACTACCCTCACCATTAGCCCATTTAAATTCTCCAGGACAGAGGTTTTTTTCCTGCTTTTTTTGCTGAAAAAAATCTCCTGAGTAACTCTACTCTGGCTCTTCTCTTCTTGAACAAACTTCTAGCACTAAACATCTATCTCCCTTGAAAAAGGACAGTCTCCAGCCATGCGTGCCCGGCCCAGCGGTTCCTCCTTAAGCCTCTTGGGTTCTGGTTCACATCCGAGACTTCTGCAACTCTCCCAGAGGCCTTTTGTTTGAGAACAAACTCCAGCATTGACTCATGGGCTGGTCATTTCACTCTCTGAGCCTCAGTGTCCTCATGTGAGGAATGGGAACTTTAGCAGTTAGCTCTCCGGGATGCTCTGAGGTTACCTGAGATGGTGTGTGTGAGGGGCTTGGCCTGAGTAGACCCTCGAGAAGGGCTAGATCTCTCCATAGTCCCCCAAAGAGGGGCTGTTTTGTTGTAAATGTGATCCTATGTTAAAGTGAGCCCCTCAAAGGCCCCACTTGCTTTTTATAAGCATAAACAGAATTTTCCAGAGGCTTTGTGAGCGTATGGGCAGCACAAATTGTTGCTAAGTTGAAAGAAGGGCTG